AGGTGCATGTCATTATAAAAACTCCAATTTTCACACTGTGTTTTTAAAAAGTGGTAGAGGACTTTTTTAGCTTGTTTAAAAATTTTTCTAAATAAAAACTGAAGTGGCTTTAACTCAATGTATTAAAAATATAAAAAGGCAACACATTTAATCAGTTGCAAGAATAGTTGACATCAGCCAAAACCAGTTTGGCTCAATGGATAGAGCGTCGGCTTGGGGACTGAAGGGTCCCAGGTTTGATTCCGGTCATGTACGTTGGTTGAAGGGCATGTACGTTGGTTGGGGGCATATCCCCAGTAGAGGGTGTGCAAGAGGCAGCTGATCAATGGCTCTCTCTCATCGATGTTTCTAACTATCTCTCTTCCTTCCTCTCTGTTCAAAATCAATAAAATATATTTAAAAAAAAAAAAAGAATAGTTGACATCAGCTAAGATGGAAATGTACTAGCCAAATTTTAAAATATAACCTTTGAATAATTGATGGATGGAATTTTAAAATGATTTTATAATATTTAGCACAACCAATGATATACTATTTTTATTTGGATCTAAATGGCTTTATGTTACATCTTTTTCAGTTATGACAACCATTCAAAGTACTAATATCAATTGAACTTAGACCCAGATCTTCAAATTGGAATATCATGAAGATTTTTAAATCAATTATACATATATATATATGATAAAATCTTCCTTCAAGAATTATTTATAGTTAATAAGTCAAAGAATTTTTCTACCATTAATAAATGAAATAGTTAAAATATTATCTATTTTATATTTATATTTTTAAATTTATATTATTATGACTGTTTTATAATAAATATTATATTAATAGAATAGTTCAAAGATACAATTTATAAGTAAATTAATATACATATACTATAATAATGGGCACACATCAAAAATAAGGTCACTGATATAGGAAATTATTTCAAAGTAGCAATCTGTAATAATTCATGATGCCTACCTCGCCCCAGAGTTGGTGCTCAATAATATATGTTCAATAAATGAATGAACCTCTTTTCAAGGTTCATAGATGTTGTCACATACTGCAGAATTTCCTGTTTTAAGGTTGAATAATTTTTCATTATATGTGTATACCACATTTTTCTTTATGCATTGAGGACATTATTCTGTGAAATAAGCTATTCACAGGACAAAAAGTACATGATTCTAATTATGTGATGTATCTAAAATAGTCAAACTCAGAGAAGCAAAAAATAGAATTGTCATTTTTAGGTGCTGGAATTAAGGGGTGACGATACTTATAAAATTTCAAGATGAGTAAGTTCTTTGGTCTGACGGACATTGTGCCTATACATAACAATACTATATTGTACACTTAAAATGTTTTACTAAAATAAATCTCTTAAGGTTGTTACCAACATTAAAAAAAGTCATTAAAAAAAATGGAAAGTCCTTCTACAGAAACCACAGCTATAAATGGAAGAACTGATGAGTAGATTAAGAACAACAGTTATGAAAGATTTCTACCCAAGCAAAAACACAGAAAAAAACATCTGAGAAGTATCATATATGTATAAGTCTAGCAAAGGAGACATCACTATAATCAATTGCAGTCATCCACATGAGTATTTCCTAAAAGGAATGTAATAGAGAATCCCCCAAATTAATTCAATTCAGTGAGGAATTATTGAGTGTCTCAAATTTGACTCACAAATGAAGTACGTTAATATGAAATGTTATCTATGATTGATGGCTTCTAGAAATTAATGTTTAGCTTTAGTGCATGTCTTCAAACTTCCATATGGAGTTGGGTGCAGACTCATGTTCAGAGAATCTGAGCCACTTGTGATTTCATTCTTTAGTAGGTGTCCAGCTGCCTCATCACACCACGTGCTCATCTTCTTCCTGCTCCTCTAGGCCATGCTGGAACTAGACAGACTCAGGGATTAGCACTTGTAAAGCACCAATCTACACCCTCCTCACCTTGCTGATCAAGTGGTTCACACTTCTTTCACATTTTTAAAAGAACTTCCCCTATAGTTGAGCCCCAATAAAGGTAGGGAGGCCCCAGCCAAGTGACTCAGTCTGTTGGAGCATCATCCCACACACCAAAAGTTTGAGGGTTCAATTTCTGGGTAGGGAATATACCTAGGTCAGGGCACATATGAGAGGCAATTGATTGATGTTTCTCTCTTTCTTTTGCTCTTTCTCTCTCAAATCAATAAATTTATTCTCAATGAGAACTTTAAAAAAAAAAATAGCTAAGGGGAAAAACGTATCTCAAATCCCTTTTCTTCCATGTATTTTTTTCTGGATCATGAACAACATGGAGAATAATAATAATAATAAACAATAAAAATATCTGAAAATAAGAGATATGGAAGAATTGGGTGGATTATTAAAAATAATACTTATTACTCAGTAAAGATTAACAATGAAGTCAGTGAGCTAAGCAGCTCTTAGTGAACTCAGAAAATCACCAGGAAAAGGAGATCCCTCCCTCCAAACTGATCTTCAGTCCATGGATTGGGGTTAGAGAGGACGAGCTGGCTTAAATTTCCATTCCATTGTGATGTCCGGCTCTATAAGCTGACTTTTAGCAGGCGAAGCATTCTGCATCTCATCACATCCCCTTGGGTTCTGACTGATGGATTTAAGAGCCTGCTGTGGAAATGCCATTGGCTGGATGTATCCCTGGACACTTAGGGTCATGAGAAGTTACTCATGTACCGTATTTTCCGGCGTATAAGACGACCCCCTAATTTTTTTTTACAGTTAAAACATAGGTTTAGGCCTATATTCGCTGTATAAGACTACCCCCCACTTCAAAGAAAAGACTTACTTTGCTGTCAATATCTGCAGGTAATTTTTGTGCAATTTTGGTCTTTTGCTCCCGATTTTCGGTAGACTTTTTTTTTGTTTTAAAAGTCGTCTTATATGCCAGTAATGTGACCGACAGGAAGAGCAATAGGGTTAAAGGACTTCCTTCCTCTCCTCAGATCTCCTCAGATCCCTGCTCTCCTGGAGATCTACCTACAGGCCTCAAATATTCTGCTTGGGAGAACTTTTCAGTAGATCAAGTTGCAAAATCAGTAAGACCGGTGAGGATACCTGCTAGGAAAGCTGCGTTCTTACAAACAGGAAGATGAGTGTGTCTGGCTGCTTCTTCCCATCAGACCCTCTATGGTACTCCTTCCTATAATGACACCACCAGACATGCTAAAGGGAGATAAATTTGATAAGAAATAAAACACTTCAGCACAGAAAAGTCTGAACAAGTCTTTATTGCAAATGTTTCCATTTTAGCAGAAAACAACCGGAAAGAAACCTGGATGGCCTACTGCAATCAAAAGGATTTACCTCATGATACCAAAAAAAAAGGACACCATTTAAATACAGGAAATACTTTATTTCTTTGCCAGTTTTTGCCAATTTATACTCCTTTTGGATATTGCTTCTGCACCCCCTCAAATTCTCAAGCAGTGAGCTAAAAAATCTTGCATAGTGTTTTTTATAAGAAACCAAGGCACTTAATTATCACCAGGCCCTACATCACTAGCGACAAAGATGGAATTTTGTCATCTAAAATACTACCTGAAGCTTCTACATTAAAAATTAAGTTTGAATAAAAACAACTCAAGGTATTTGTATTGGGATTTTAGTCAACACTGAAAAATGTGTCATAATAAACCCAAAGCAGAAGGAAAAAAAAAAGTTCTCTTAAAGGCAACTTTCTCCAGTTTTCATTTTAAATGAGGGAGTAAAAGAAACTGTCATTTCCCAGAAAAGTCCATTATTTCTACATGGATCCCACCAACTGATGTGTTTGCCTAACAGTGACAGTGATGTCATTAGCAGACAGATGTGCCCGTTTCCAATGCACACGGCCCCTGTCAGGAGCTGAGCACTCCCAGGGACAACTGTTCCCAGGCCCCAGTTGGTCTGATGTTTCTCCAGCTAAAACAAAACAAAACAAAGAAAATGAAATCTAAGGGTCCTCTGGTTGAGGCTCTCGAGACTCCCTGGAAGCATGGTGCTCCTGGAAGAGGACTTGGCTCCACATGTTGGTGACTTCCGAAGGCTTTTAGGATACGACAGAAGCACATGTGACAGCACTAAACCAGGACGCAGTCGCCACTGAGCTTCAGTGGGTCTGGGCCCACAGAGCACCACAGAGGGTCTGATGGGAAGAAGCAGTCAGAAGCACCGCTCTTCCTGTTTATAAGAGTTCAGCTTTCCTTGCAAGTTTCCCCAAAGAGAGCAGCAAAAGCACTTAAGACAAGTTTTCTTAAGTTTATTCTTTTTTTAAAATATATATTTTATTGATTTTTTGCAGAAAGGAAGGGGGAAGGATAGAAAGTTAGAAACATCGATAAGAGAGAAACATCAATCAGCTGCCTCCTGCACACCACCTATTGGGGGATATGCCCCCAACCAAGGTACATGCCCTTGAGCGGAATCAAAGTGGGGACCCTTCAGTCCACAGGCCGACGCTCTGTCCACTGAGCCAAACCGGTAAGGGCATCTTAAGTTTATTCTTAATAACCGATTAATCTGGAGTGAAGCCATTCCTCAGCTCTCCTATTATCCCATAAAACCCAATCTTTCTCTCCCCTCACATCTACCCACCCCACATATACACACCTCATATACACATACCATGTACCCATCTCTCCTCTGTTCCTCTGACCAAGCCCCAACCCACTCTGGCGTTCCTTTTTTTTTTTTTTTTTTTTTTTTTTTTTTTTAATGTTTTTATTGACTTTAGAGAGAGAAAGGGAGAGAGAGAAAAAGACAACATCCATCAGCTGCCTCCAGTACCCACCTTGACTGAGACTGAACTCAAAACTGGGGCATGTGCCTTGCCCAGTCATCAAAGTGGGAACCTCTTGGTGCACAGGACAATGTTCAACCAACAGGGCCACACCTCCCAGGGCTGGTGTTGCTTTGTCTCCCCACCCCCTGGGCCCTAGGCCTTGAGACCTTGGTGGGCAGACTGTAAAATACACATGAGAGTATTGAGGGCTCCAGAGCTGTGGCATTGGGTCTGGCCTGGAAGGTGCTGGCAGGGCCACCCCATACATCCCAACATGACAGAGGGCAGCTCTGGAAGCAGTGAGCACTCAAGAAGGGTGGTTGATCTCCAGGAAAGAAACATGGCAGAAATGAAAAAACAAAACAAAAACCCAGACCACAGATCTACAACACTTGCCATCAAATATTCCCTCTAAAATCCCTGCCATTCCTTCCCCAAAAGGAACAGAAAAGGGGGAAGGGGATGAGAAAGGGAGAGGAAGAGAGGAATGAAGGAAGGGAAGGAAATAAAGAAAGAGAGAAGAAGGGAGAGAGAAAGGATGCCAGTTTGCAATTTCTACTCTGGGGTAAAAAGTGTAGTCACAAAATGGCTACTTCACACAGACAGAAATCTGAGGTTCGATCCCGGTTTCGGGGAGCAGGATTCTCAGGTGGGGACCCTCCCTAGAAGCCTTCCACGGAGAGCGTGTGGTTGAGCGCGTAGCCATCGCTATCCTCTTCCTCCAGCAGCAGCTTGTCGATGGTCAGGGAACTGATGGGCCTCCTGGGGTCTTCCATGTCCTGAAGGACTGGCTCAGGGATGGAGATGGGGAGTTGGACAAACTGGGGCCCGGGCAGAGCTGGGGCCGGAGGCTGGTACTGCAGGGTGGAGGCGGGCAGCGTGGACAGGGGCTGAGGCCACGGGAAGTAGGTGAGAGGTGCCTGGTGCTCTGGGCCCTCCAGCTGGGGCCCCACGGCGGGTGTGGTGGCACTTCTCGTCTGCATAGGGAGACACAGGACTGAGAGTTAGCAGCCCTGGAGGAGTCACTGCCACCCTTGTCCTCTAGGGGATCTGTTTCCCTTCAACTAGGTCCTTTCCTGCTGTCTCACTCCAGGGGGCTCCACCTGCACCGACTCTGACAGGAGAAGCTCACACACACACTCTGTACCCTTACTCTGTGACTCACCAGCTCTAGGTCCTTGCTCATGCTACTTCCCCATCAGAAGCCTATTTCACTGAATATGAAGTGCATCCCAACTTCAGAAATACTAAAATCTATGAAAATACTGCATGCTATACAATAAGCCTGCCACATAGCATAGTAGCTGTAGCACAAAGGTGGCACAGTGCTACCCACAAATGAAGGTAGTCCTGGCTCCACACAGCAGCAGCAGCAGCAGCACTCTGAGGTCCCCTTGGGCTGACAGAACACAACTCACCTACTTCCCCATGGCTTCATCACCTCTCATGACCTCATCCTCTGACATCTGGGCCCCTATTGCCATTGCAGAGACCTCTACACATCAAGGCCATGCTCCCAGGTACTCTGCAAACCATGCTTCTCACATGCAGAGGACCACCCTACAAACGCAGGTCAAGCCTCCTAGAGAGAGAGAGCTTGTATTCTCACTCTCTCCCATCACTGAGGAAGCAGATGGGAGAGGAATGTCTCTGTATGGAATGATGTGTCACAGGCCTAAGTCCCCCTCTACCACTCTTGCCTTCCCTGACATATTTCTCTCAAGTGGCCACCATGTTTTGAGACTAAACCATTACAATTATTTAAGAAGATCTTATTTCAATGACCTAGAGACCTTGTTACAACAGAGATTCCAAGACAGGGGGTCAGGGGTGGAGCCTGGATTCTGCAGGTCTAATTAGATCCCAGGTAATGCCCATGTGACTGGTCCAGGGACCACAGATTTAGTAGTAAAGCTTAAGGGCTTTTCCTTATGGAATGATGGAGCTGGAAAGGGTCTCCGAAGCTTTCTGGCTTCCCAACAAGGCCTTATTATTTTCAGTATTCCAAAAGTCCAATGGAAACCCTTCATTTTTGAGTTATAAACTTGTGCAGGTTGCTTACAACTACAGGGTTTTTTTTGTTTTGTTTTGTTTTGCTCCCCCCAGGGATAGAATTACAGCAACCCAGTATCATAACAGGTCTTATCTCCTGCTGATCAGGAGTGTTCACTGGGTAACTCTAACCAGCTTTGATGAGTCAATTTACAGAGTGGCAAAACAAATAAATTATTTCTTAATAAATAAAGCTTGTTTGATACACAGAAACTTTCAAAGCAGGAGGTGGGAATGATGAAAGGATAAATAATGAAAAGAATCCTTGGTCATGAAATGGTTGGGAACCATTAAGTCTGCCACCCCCACTCCCACCCCCAGCACTCTGATATGCAAATGAGTTGCCTGGAAGAGGTGTTGAATTAACTCCTTTCTACCCACCACCATCCAGTCAGATGAGCATGGGGTAGGAGGGTTCCTGCAGGCCATGCCTGGATGAGACTTGAAGGGCAAGGGCATCAGGATAACACTTAACTCTTGAGGAAAATGCCAGGGTCTTAGAGAACCAGAGCAAGCTTTCTCATCCAGGGTGGGTTCTACAACTACTCATGAGGCCCCGGGCCCACCTCCCGTTTTCTTGGGACTAAAGTTGGACACAGTTGTAACCAGAGGACTTTTATCCTCCTAACACTTGGGGGAGAAAAGTGTTCACATAAAACTATTTCTTTTCCTTCTTCCATTCCCGGGAACAGGCTATTCCTTTCCTATCGGGCACTTGAAGGCAGCCCTTGGTTAATGTTGGTTGACTTTGAGGCAATTATAAAAACTAGCATTAATCAAGTGCTTTCTGTATGCCAGGAACTATGCTGAAACCTCTACAGGCATCAACCTGACATCAACTCTCTTGTTAGTATTCCCATTTCACAGATGAAGACACCAAGGCTCAGAGAAATTAAGTCACTTAGCCCAGGGTCAGGGATTTGAACCCAAGCTATCTGACACTAGAGGTATAATTAAAAAAAAATTACCCTACTGGTGAGCCAGATTCCATCAAAAGTACAGTTTTCGGAAAACGTGTATCACCCATTCCTCTGCCTAGAAATGTCTGGTAGATCCCATTGTTAAGTGAATGATCACCTATTAACTTATCTGACTAGAAAGAAAAGTTTGGCTGTGACAGGAGACTCCATCAAGATCTCACGTGGAAACCTATTCCCTGCTTACAGGGCAGCATGGCTGCTTCAGGACAGAGAAGCAGACATCCCATCCCTGAGGAGCACTGGGCATGGAGGGAGGCCATAGCCTTGTTGGGGAGGATATTTTAGGTCAATGGGAATGCAAGCAGGCCTCCCAGGAGGACCAGGTGAGTTTAGATGATCTAATTATCCAGGGAATCAGTAACCAGAAAGATCAAGATTAAGAATCAGGAAGCCAGCAATGTTCTTTCTAAGAGTGCCCTAGACATGAATTGGTTCAGCCCCACCCTTGAGTGACGTACCGTGACATTAGTGATGAGCGGCTGGGAGGCGTAGGTCAGCACGGAGGAGGGCCCCACGACAGTGTAGCTGGGGCACACGGGCTGCACATACATGTCCGCCGAGTAAGGGCAGCTGACAGCTTCATGGGACACATACTCGGTGTAGGGTGTCCACGGGGCCAGGGGCTGGAGGGTGGCAGGGGTAGGCTGAGAGAGCCAGCCTGCACACAGGGCCCCCTCCTCCGTCATGGTGGAGGCAGCCACCTCCATGTCAAGGCAGGAAGGACCTGTGGGAAGAAGGAAATGACAGAACTGCAGGGCCGCCAGAGGAGGGACCCGGAGGAGGCTGGGGCTGTGGGGAGAGCTTACCCACTGTGGTGTACGTGGCCAGGGGCTGATGGGGCAGCACCACCTGAGGGGGAAGAAGACCAGGGTCAGTGTTCAGCCATCTCCAACTCGCCCCCTGCAGGAAATGTGCCCCGAGGGTCCCAGGGCAGGAGCATATAGGGGAGAATCAGCCTTGTTAGAACAAAACACTTGCCCTGATCTCAACCATCACCATCAACATGTTTGAGGGATTCCCGTTTCCATTTAGCAAGAAGGCTGTGCCCTTGGGGAACTTGTATTGTCCTATCTTCCCAGGAGTTGGGGGATCAACTCGCACCAGGATGTGGGAGTCTGGCTCACTCACTCAGGCGTTAGCTTTGTTCTGTGGGCCAGCCAGCCAGCCCGCACCCCTCTCGTCCCATTTCATGAACCCACCAACCTGTTCTCCCCTAAGTCCATTCTCCAGCCACAGCTGTGGCTAGGGTTGCCTTCGTGCCCCAGGGAGCATCCCATGGGGCAATGGGATTTTTTCCTGCCCCACCTCTCCCATCCCCCACCTCCATCGCCATGCACACCGGCCACCGTAGACCCCTCACCGCGGTAGGTGTCACCGCCGTCCCGCTGCTGGCATGGCCACGTTTCCTCCTCAGCAGTTCCTTCACCGGCTCCTTCACTCGGACGCCCTGGTACGGCCGGGCCGGGGCCGGGGCTTGTTCTGGCGCTGTGGCTGTGGAAACAAGGTCCCCGGGGCTCATCTCCCTTCCCAGTCAAGTCCCACCTCCAAGTGCTGCTCTCCTCAAGGCTCTCACTAAGTGGCGTCTGAGCGCAGAGGGCCACATGGAGACTTGCTAGAATATTTCTCCTGTATTGTCACTCCTCCTGCCCCAGCCCTCCGTGGCTCCCCTCCGCCCAGAGGATGAACACCGAGCCCCTAGTCTAGATGGGAAGTGCCCCAGAGGGTGATCCCCATCGTGATCCATTTCTCCAGCCCTGTGCACACTGCCTGGGACATGAACCCTGACTCCAGCCAGGTCAACCCAGACTTCTCCACGCGTCCTCTGCCTGTCTCGCCGCTTCATCTTTGCTTGAGATGCCACATGGCCGGGATTCCCTATCATTTTTCTCAACCCGTTGATTCTTCCTAACCAAGACTGGGGCACCCTTCCTGGCCAACCGATGCAGCCCCCAGAATTTGTTTCATCCTACTGTCCCTCAAGCCCATCAGACCTACTTAGTATTCACCACAGGGGGCAGCAGAGGACGACAGTGAGAGCAGGGACTCTGAGTCAGAGGGCACAGGCTTCTAAACCTTCCTCTGTGCCATTCGAGCTGTGTGATCCTGGGCAAGTTACTATACCTCTCTGTGCCTCTGACCCTACAATTTCTTACTAAAGGAATGTTATAAGGAATAACTGACACAGTAAATGGGAAGCATAGTCTATGCTTAGTATAAAATCAGATACAGAGTAAGCACTCAATACATTTTTTTTTGTCTGCTAGGTAATAATTAGTTACCTTTTTCAGTGTCAATTTCTAATGCCCCTAACTAGATTCTAAACTTCTCAAGGTCTGATACTATACTTTATTTCTCTAAACCTTCCCAAGTGGCATATTCATAATAAGCTTACTAAGCTTACCAGTATTTGCTGATTAATTGCTTGGGAGGTAATTTAAAATGTGCTGTCTGTCAATCATCTTCCCTTCCCCTCTCCTGAGCTTTTGGAATGGGCTGGAGCAAATGGTTCCCACTTTCTCCAGGCTGCCCCCGGGATACGTGACAAATACCCAGTGGTGACCTAAGTGCCCTGGGTCTCTAGGCTTGCTGCGGAGAGAAGTCCCCTCTGCTGGGAAACTAGAACGTGGAGCTGAACAGGGCTCTTTCTGTCCTGGCTGAGCAAGTCCGGAGCAGCCATCACTGGGCAGTGATCATCTGCGTGCCCAGACAGTCCACAGCCCAGGGGGACAGGCAGCACTGGCCCTCGGGACTCATTATCATCCACCGATAAGGCCCCCAGGGACTGGACTCAGAATCAAAAGCCCGGAAGCCTGGGTATCTGTTCAACCCGGATCCGTAGCACTGCCTGGGCTGAACTTTGCTCGGTAAATACCCAGCTGATAAGCTCCCTTGCCCCACTCAGCACCAGCCACCCATCTGTGCTCTAGGCACACACATGGCCTGGCCTTGGGGCTCGGCAGGTGGAGAAGGCAACAGGAAGGGGTGGGAAGGGGTGTCTCAGAGCCCCAGGAGTCAGAGAAGCACAAACTCAGATGCATTCGTGGGGGCTTTTGGACCTGGCCACATCACAATGTAAAGTACAGATCCCCAGGCCCTGTGCCTGGAAAGTCTGGTTCTGGGGATTCAATGTTGGCCTAGGAATCCTAGAACTTATAGCAATCCCTCAGGTGATTCGGAAACTGTACCGAGGTGAGAACCACTAATAATTCATTCCTGATCTAAGGCAAGAAACTTCCTCCAGCATCCTGATAGGAAACTAATTATCCTCTTTTTAATTTGCCCTGCCATAGCAAGGGGTCTCTACTGGTATTCATTGATTCTTCCAGACATCCCCAGGCACAAGGCATACAGCACTGAAGAAGACAGGTGTGGCCTCTGCCCACAAGCATCTCGCAGTCCAGGGGAGAGATGAGTATAATGTGAATTCAGCCAGAAACAAGAGTGCATAGCAGAGGGAGCCCCCTGTTCCCTGTGCCCCAGAACCACCTGTGTGTGCGCCATCACCTTTGTTCTAAGTGGCAGTGAACGCGGGCCCGAGAACCAACAATGCCTGTCTTCATATGACCTATTGAACATCCCTGGCCTCAATGTCCTCATCGGTGAAATGGAGATTATAACTCTTCATTCACGCAATACTTATGAAGATTTAACTAAAATAATACATGGGAAACTCCCCAAACTATATCCAGCATATAGTAGATGTTAAAAACATGCTATTTCGCCTGGCTGGTGTGGCTCAGCTGAGGTTCTGGCCTTGTAATTGATTGGGTGATAATTTAAAGTTATCACTCAGGAACCAAGAGATCACTGGTTCAGAGCACATGCCTGGCCTCAATCCCCAGTGGGGGGCATGCAGGTTGTAGCCAATCAATGAGTCTCTTTCATCATGGATGTTTCTCTCTCTCTCTCCCCCTCTCTTCCTCTCTGAAATTAATAAATATATATATATATATATTTTAAAATATGGTAACAAAACACTTTTCCTTGCATTGCCTTCCAATAAAACTCACAATTTATAATCCATTAGTAGTGTCCTTATCTCTAAAAAGAAGATAATGATGGTATGTATTTTGTAGGGTAATTTGAGAATTTACATGTAAATACTTAGAATAGAGCTTGCACTGAGTAAGCACCAAATCAATGTGAGCTCATATAGGGTGGGACAAAAGTAGGCTCACAGTTGTGAGTGTGCAAAACACAGAGCTTCTTCCTGTATTATTATTTATTAATTATTACATTATTTTCCATATGAGCAACTGTAAGCCTACTTTTGTTTCACCCTGGATATTCATGAGTAGCAGTAATAGTAGCAGCCCTTCCCAGCATCTGTAGACAGATATCAAGTCCCCTGTACAGTTTCTAGCTGTTTCTTAAAGACGTGTTTTGAATCCCTCCAAACCTTCTTTCTACTCGCATTACTCCTGCACTAGTTCCACTTTCCATTTCCCCTTCTGATGGGGCGATGCCGGGTGCTGACCACAGACCCCAGGTGTGGCCTGACAGCTCAGAGAAGAGGACACCTGTCCTCCCACACTCTGCTTACTCATTCTCACGGCCACCCTCGCCACATCAACTCTGCTCATCACTCAGCCTAAATGTGTCTCTAACTGGGTTTCCAGCCATTCTTAAGTGCAAAGTCCAGCCTCAGGCATTCTGCCCTCGTAAGAAACTCAGGGCACAGGGTTATTTGGGGGTCTGAGCACTGCCGTCACACTCTAGTTGGGGATAAGAATGACTTGAGCCAAGACTGGTTTGGCTCAGTGGATAGAGCGTCGGCCTGAGGATTGGAAGGTCATAGGTTCGATTCCAGTCAAGGGCATGTGCCATAGTTGCGAGCACATCTCCAGTGGGAGGCGTGCAGGAGGCAGCTGATCGATGTCTCTCTCATTGATGTTTCTAACTCTCTATCCCTCTCCTTTCTTCTCTGTAAAAAATCAATAAAATATATATTTTTTAAAAAATAGTATGACTTGAAACCACAGGCACACATCTTAGACCAGATCAAAGAAAGGTATATGGCTAACCCTCCACTCTGCCTGATTTGCACATACATTTCAGGAGGGGGGGAAGTACACGGTGAGAGAACTGAGACCCTGAGAACATGCCGGATCCCACTATCTCCCAGGAATGGCCACTTCTAACCCTTGGCTGCAAAGTGGCCAGCTGGGCATTTAGAGGACCTTGTCAAGCAAAGGCTTCCTGCCTCCTGTTGTTTTTGAATCAATGAACAAAGAGGGCTTGGGGGAGGTGCTCTGAGCAGAGGGCATCACCCTCTGATGTCTGGAGTTCTCGGAACCCACAGTGTCAACAGGTGCGCCCTGGCACAGCCACCATATGGAGAGCATAACTATCGCAGTCACAGAGCTCCCACGGCTCCCGAGGATCTCTGACTGCCCGCCCAGCAGTCCACCAGCAGCTGCCAAAGACTCCTGTAGCAGACTGCAGGCGAGGAGGCCACGGGACGGTGCTTCTGAGAGTGTCTTTGCAAAGTGACCATGAAATTCAGAATCTGAGGCCTCAAGACAATTCCCACAGGAACCCAACAGCCAAGTGCATTTGCAAGGTGAACACTTGCTGTTGGTGCGTTTCACACTGACCTCTGTAAAACAACAATAAACATGTCTAACTCCACCAGAAGCACCGTAATCCCTACTGCCACCAGCATGAGAAATGAGCCCACGAATACACATGTGAAAGAGGGGAAGCAGTTTGTCTGAAATCATGATTGCCTTGTCTTGGGGCCTCTGGATCTTTGCATGGAACTAGCTTGAACAAAACCAAACCAGAATATTTAAAAGAAAAATGTAAGGTTATTGACATAATTTCTTAGGACAATGATAATAAATAAAAGAAGAGCCAAAGAAAATAAAACAGGAGATTGAAATGATGTTACCCAGAAGATGAAAATCCAAGTTCACAAAGTAGAGTTGGCTCAAAATTTAATAGCCCCCTGATCAAACTGCAGCTCCAGGTCATACACCCTCAGAGCCTGAAGCTTTCTCACCACGTGTCCTGTGCTCCGAAGGCCCTTCAGGGCTCCTGTGGGCATCCACGTCTCCATCACCGGGGAAATATCTTTTCGCCTAGACCCGAGCCTCTGGGCCTCTTTGGGAATCTCCTTTCTCAGGAGAACTTCAGCCATCCTGCCTTTCCACCACTGGAAATCAGTCACCAGTGGAGTTTGAAGGTGGGGGGGGGGGGGGCAGGGAGGAGAGGGAGAAACACACAAAACTCATTTACAGAAAAACCTATGAATTTGCCCCAATAAGGGCTTCCCTTTTCCAAAAAGAGCAATGAAAAAGTCTGAAGGTATAAAAAGTCAGCAGAGACATTTCAGTTCCCCCTGCCACACACCCAGACCTGCCCCACATCACAAAAATAAGAGCCGTGCAGCTGCCGTTCCGCTGGGGAGCAGAGACCATGACAACTTCAAGCCGACGGGTCTCCTCAGACGGCGCTCTGGCTGCGTTCAGGCACCGTGCTTGCTCTGC